ACTATCTGTTTGTATTTGCTGTTGAACATGTGTATGTGTTCTAAAGAGGCTAGCACACCCAGTAAACTGTGGGAGTTCTGGGGGCACAGTTAGGGGGCCTTGCTGGTGAAAAGGTGCCTGAGTCACCCTTGATGGTCCCAAAGGGGACAGGCTTTGTGGACAGGGTTCCAGTCATCTGGGGGCAGATCTGTCGTAAGATCCAGGGATGTAAGATACAAGATCCCTTTCCAACCAGTTCACTGAAGGTGTGACTCAGGCCCGCTCCCAGAATTCAGGGGCTGCCCTCCTGGCTGGTGAGGGAATCGGGGACCCCCCCACGGGTGGGCCCTGTCTATGACAACCTCTGGCACAGCACGCGAGGCTTTTGGTGACTGACAGAGAGAAGAGACCTTCCGGGAGCCACCGAGCTTTCAGGTTCACATGCCTGTGAAATGGGGGGCTTAATTCAGCGTGTTCATTTCTGGGGCCATCTGAAGAGTCTGCGTGTGTGTCTTGGGCCCTCCAGATTCTGTGGAACGTGCTGGCAGAGGGGCACAAAGGGGGCAGCGATTGGCTCCGGGCACTGGCAGGCGCAGACGATTCTGCTGGGGACCTCTCCCAGGTCAGGCGGGAGCCCGAGTTCCGGGGTGTTCCTCGCACCCACCTGGCCTGCCCTTCCCACTCCCACCCTTTGCTGCGTGGTCCCTTTGTCCTCCTGGGCTCTCCCCTCGTCTGGTCTCTGTCTGTGGAAGACTTACCCACACTGACCATTTTTATTATTTTGTGATTGTTTCCCTGGTTGTTTTTAGAGAAAGCCATTTTGTTTTTTGGATTTGTCAAACTATTCAAGTTATACCTGTGGGTGACAATGTTAGTCCCTTACAGGCTGAGTACGGTGATGATTAATGATGACATTTATGGAGGCCTGACCTGCCAGCCCTGGGAGCGGCTTCCGTGATGCCCGTTCTGCAGACGAGGAGCTGAGGTCCTGAGAGAACCGGGCAGCCGCTGGGCTGGGGTCCAGCAGAACTGGGACTCCTTCGCCCACCCTGTGCTCCTCTCTGGGAGGCTGGGGGCCTGGGCCTGGAGGGCAGGCTCCCTCAGTCCCACTACCTTCTCCCACAGGACCTGCGCTGAGTTGGTGCAGGGAGGAGGGTTTGGGGGGGCAGATGTGGAAGGTAGGTGAGGCCAGCACACCCCCTCAGAGCAACTGGATCCCTACAACGAGTGTTCCTGGGCGAGGACCCCCGAGGGTTGGCCCTGCTTCTGTTTAGCCCTCTGGGCTGGGGTGGGGGCTGTCCCGCGGAGCCCAGTGAACTGGGGTCAGAGCCAGGATCAGGAGGGGGTCAGCAGGCTGCTGCTCGAACTCGGAGTGCCTCAGTCTGGCTGTGAGAGCTCAGATGTAACCCTCACCCTCTCTGGTTGTGAGCCTTGGTCTTGGAGAACCCAAGTCCACAGAGTATGGTGTCTCCAAAAGCTGTGGAAGGAAGAGGAGCCAGTGTGGGCAGGTGTGCAGGAGAGTGGGGCGCCTGAGGCCTCGGGGACCACCCACAGACACCCGCGCAGGGACGTGACAGTGGGAATTCAAGTTGTGAAATCCATGTGGCAGCTCCGGTGATGCAGCCCCTGCAGGGAGGCAGGAGGGGGAAGTGGGGTGCTGAGTAGTGTTTCTGGCCAGAGACCCTGTTCAGGGCTTCCCGGCTGCCAGCTCTTTGTCATGGATGGGGCCGGACCCCTGCCACTCCTGCCTCTCCAAGGTCCAGACTCCTCATTCTCTGCCTTCCTGTGGTGCTTCCTTTGTATCAGCTTGGGGTCGTCCCTCCCAAGCTGACTTAGGACGAGTCTCAAGAATGTGCTCGGGGCTACCTCTGCCGAGAAGCTACCGTGGCCGTTCCCCCACAGGCTTCCCTTTCCTGCACCTCCTTTGCTGCCCAGCTCCCTGGCAACGCCACCTCTTAGTCCTTAACCCTTTGGGGAGTGCCATTGCCCCCACCCTCACCCGGCCTTTCCAGTCCAGTGGGGCCTGGAACAGAGCAGGCCCTCAGTAACCATTTGGTGATGGACCCTTGCCCCCAGCACCTGCCGGTGCCAGGACACAAGGGGTGAGCTAAGGGGACCCAATGGTGACCGAAAGGGCACGAGGCCACAGTCAGTCCTTGGACCCATACGAGCATCCTAATCTATTTGGGTCCCGAGTCCGAGAGCAAGGCTGGGTAGGGAGAGACCCCGTGCTCTTCGGTCTGGTTCTGGAATTTTGGGGAGCAAAGGGTTTTTCTGAAAGCGGGTCAGATCTGTACAGTTCTGGAGTTCGGAGAGCAAGGCACGCCTGCAATCGCAGCTGGGCGGGATGGGGGCAGGGCTGCTGCCCTCCAGGGGTGCGTGGCGCGTGGGGCTGCTTCCTCTCATCCTCCACTGAGTGAGGCCCCCTGAGTTTCAACTTGCACCCTGTCCTCTCCCCACCTGCTGCCTGGTGACTTCTCCCCCGGCCCCCCAGTCCCACACTCCTGGACCCTGGTCCTGCAGCCTTACTTGAGTAACGCGAGAGGTCTGGCATGAATCTCATCACCTCCCAGCCCCCCGGCCCCTCTCAGCCCGGATGTTTCAGGTCTGTTGGCTTCACGTTTGCCTTCTGGCTCTGTCTGGGTCACCCCGTTCGGGCTGTCACTTCCTCGGCCTCTGCTGGCTTCCTCTCCAGCCCACAGCCCCACCCAGCCCGGGCCTCCACGCCGCTGGTCCCTCCATGGGGTGATGCCCGGGCCTCCACTTGGCTGGACTTGCCCTTCCTGTCCTCTGTCCTCGTCTGGCCCTCTACACCCTGCCTGGATGCGGTGTCTTTGCTGACGCTGCAGATGGGACCCTGGTTCAGCTTCCTCCAGGAGCTGACTCCCTGAGAGGCAGGGCGGATTCCTGCCCTTCTAGCAATAATGCTCTGTGTGAGGCCGGCTGCGCCAGGGCTGGCCCAGGCCTCCGAGAGCGGTGGCTGCAGGACCCTCGAGACTGGAGGGCCCGAGCCTCCGCATCCTGCACACTGAGAGCTGGCCCGCTGGGAGCCAGGCTGCTTGGGATGCAACCCCTGGTCGAGACTGTGTGGGCTGATGGCAGAGAACTGGACTGTCCTCTTTTGGGCCCGGGAGCCCCCTCACCCCTAAAATGGGAAGACAAAAGTCCTGACTCCCTAGGGTTTTTTGGAAGAGTCTTTGGGATCTTGTAAAAAACTTGCCCATCACTGGCTCGGGTTAACGATCATTGGTAACTGTTAGGATGAGAATTTTGTGATTTACCAACATCTTTGTCATCGGGACCCTGTTTTCTCTCACTGACCCTGATTCGTTTCCCATCTCTCCCACCCACCCCCTCCCAACCCCCCACTCGCCTCATCTTTTCAAAAACAATTCCCATGGCCTTTTGGCCTTTGAGAGAGTTCTGGTTGTTTATGGTTTTTAAGAAATAGGCGTTCACAGTGAATCCCTCATTGGTCCTCCTTGTCCTCTTCCCAAGTCAGGGTCCAGACCGACACGGCTCATTCCAGGAAAGGCGAGCACAGGCAGGTCTGCGCCCGTGGAGGGGTTTCCACGGGCCGAGCTGCGCCCGGAGGGAGGGCAGGGGGTGGCTGGCCTGAGACCCAGGTGGGGATGTGGCCCACACTGTTATTAGCCTTCCTGCCCAGCTACCACCCCCTAGCCTGGCCTCCGGGCCACATCCCAGCTGTACCACCTGCTAGCTGTGTGACCTTGTGCCAAAGACTTAACCTCTCTGAGTCTCAGTTTTCTCCTCTGAAATGGGGTGGCCCTGCCCTACCTGGCAAAGCCATTGAGAGGAGTGAATGAAATGCTGTCCTGTCCAGGTGCCCTCTGTACCCAGGGACCAGCCATGGGAGGGACAGTGTCACATAAGCCCCTTCTCCTTCAAGAACAGACCTTGAAAATTGGAATCCAAGACTGTCATAGGTAGCAGGGCCTGTCCATTATTGAGTCCAGTCCTCTCGGTGTGCAGGGGGAAACTGAGGCCCAGAAAGATTGCTGCACAGTGGGCAGCACACACCCCCGGTTGGCGGGACTCAGCACCAGGAAGTCTCTCCCAAGGAGAGGGCCCCCTTGCCGTGGGTCACAGCCCTCTCTGGGCCTCAGTTTCTTCGTCCGTACATAGGGATGTCCTGGCAGTGTGAGCATGGAGCATCCAGCCTGCGCTGGGCCTGCTCTGGAGGCCGCAGTACTTGCCGTCTCTATCCAGAAACTGCTTTGGCGGACGACAGAAGCAAACGGCCAATGTAAGCACAAAGGCTGTGATCCTGTAGCTGAGTCAGTTTTAGAATGCTTATCCTTTACCGTGAGGAGGATCGTGCTTGTAAAAGAGGTCCAATGCCGTTAAAGTGACAGGTAGTGGAAGGGACTTTGTGCTCATCGTCCCCACGCCTGGAGGCCCCGCCTTCACAATCTGGAGTTTGTCTTTCCCAACCCTTCCCAACCCTTCCCGTAAGTGTCTGGGCACAAACAGTCGCTGTGCACGAACAGGGGTCACTTTCAGTGACAGGATGTTCAACGTGTGATTCCGTAACTCCCTTTTCTTTATGTGGCAGGGTGTGGACACCTGCCCTTTGTCGGTACACGCACCTGCAGGCCCCCCTCCGTCTCCTCCCTTACGACTTTGTCATTGTGCCCACAGCCCCTGTTCCCAGCACCCCCAGCCCCAGGGTCAGGTACCTGTCCCTCCATATGCTGGTCTGACAGGGACAATGGAATCTTGGTCCCATTCCCATTTGATAGGCGACTGTGAGGCTGAGTGTCTTTGTCCCTTGGTTCCTGGTGATGTCCCTGTCTGGGGTCATGGCCCACTTCCCTGTCTGGAGGTTCACCCAGGTGTGTGCAGGAAACACACGATTCTGCTCAGAAATGCAATGCTGACAAGAGCAAACAACTTTACGGGCAGGAATTTGGGGTGTTGTGGCGGCTCCTCCCTGGGGCAGGGTTGCTGCATGTGTACATGACCACAATGACCTCAGTCTGTTTGTCCTCTCCTTCCAGAGAAAACCAAGAAGATCCTGACGGAGTTCCTCCAGTTTTATGAGGACCAATATGGCGTTGCCCTGTTCAACAGCATGCGCCACGAGATTGAGGGCACCGGGGCGCCGCAGGCCCAGCTGCTCTGGCGAAAGGTGAGAGGCGCGGAGCCGGGGACAGGCCGGGCTCTGGTCCGGGTGCTGACATCACTGACCACATGGTCTCCAGCCAGTGCCTTCCTTCTCTGGGCCTCAATTTCCCACTGTTGCCCTGATGGTCTCTAAGGGCCCCACCCACCTTCTGAATAGACAGATGACCTGGCTCCAAGGTCCTTTGTCGCTGTGGGTGACTCCCACCAGCTCCACCCCTGCAGCACTTGGGCTCCAGAGTCATTTCCATGGGCCTGGATTCCAGCCAAAGCCTTTTCTTATTGGCTTTGTGTCTGTGAACAAATCACTTCGCCTCAGAGAGTCTCAGTCTACTCTGTAAAATGGGACCAGCACCCTCCTGCACAGGATGGTTATAAGAGTTAAAGGTTCGAGTCAGCCGGCTGCCTGGGGCAGGGAGGGTGTTTGGTGAGTGCCGCTGACACTGTCATTGTCACTGGCCTTGTCATTATCTCATTGTTAGTAGTAGGATTGCATTGGCCAACATTTGTCTATTGAGGGGTTGGAAGCTCCCTTCGAGGTGCTGGGGCCAGTGTCGTAGGAGGGATGGAGTCTGGATCCCTGGGGTCTGGTAGGAAAGGACTCGGGGACCTGGGTTCCAGTTCTCTCAGTTGGTTGGACAGCCCTCAAGGCCCAGTGTCCCCATCTGACAAGTGGGCACCTCCTGCCTCGGGCTATGGCGCAGGTCTGGTGAGAAGACCGCTGGTGTGTGGTCAGGGCAGATAGGGTCACGGAGGGGGGTGTGAGTTCTGACCACTGTGGCTTCACCTGACTGAGCCTTGGTTTCTCTGTTTGTCAGATGGCATCTAGGGAGGAATCAGAGCAGCTTCATGGAGGGGTCAGGGCTCCGTGGGGCAGATGGGCATGGGCGTGCAGGGGAGGCAGTGGAGTGGAGAGGCCTGGCACTGGGATTTCCATTTCATCTCATTTCATTCCACCCTGCATCCTCCCCCAAACCACGTGAGACTGAAAATGTGCCTGTTTACCCAGAGACCAAAGGGGTGGAGCTGGCGGCACTAGACTTGGCTCTGAGGGTTTATCACCCTTTGGTGCCATCTCTGTAGGAGGAACCGCTGGAGGCATTAGCTGCTGGGGTTGTGGGGGTGGGTGAAGAGAGAGCTGCTGCTGATACCGAGGATCACATTGTAAGAAAGAGCGGCAGGCCCCATGTCGGGGGGGCCCCTGACTGTGTCGGGTCAGGAGCTGGGGCCATGCTGCCCCTGCTGGCCCCGCAGACACTTCATAGCCCAGACAGTAAACAGCTGTTTACACAATCAAGTGGGCGCTCCCAAGGAGACGACCAGGTGAACGCAGACACAGGGGGCCTGGTCTCATCTGGGTTGACCCCGAGGGCTTCCTGGAAGAAGGGCCATCTCAGCTGAGGACCCAAGGGGGAAGGTGAACCTGGCTGCAGCGATGGCACGGGCAAAGCCCCAGGGCTGAGTCGTTAAACTGTTACAGAACAGGGTGGGAAGTAGGGCTGAATGCTATAAAAGACCCCCCTTTTTCTCCAGGGGTTCCTCCCCTATACTAGGTTCACTTTGCCTGCTTCCATAGGAAAGACGTCTCTCAATACTAGAGATCAGTGAAAAGGGAAGGAATTATTGAAAAGTTATACAGACCAAAGTTCTTTAGAATACCCACAAATGCACACAGTCCTTCCTTCTCCCTCTGTCCAGTCCAGGGTACCACATCTCAGGAAAGAAGTAGAAGACTGTGATTCAGGCCCGCAGCACCATCCACATGGCAAAAAGGGAGCAATTCCAAAGCTGCGCGGTCACTGAAAAGACCCGTGGTCCCCAAAAGAGACCCCCACATGGCTGCCTCCCCTGGGCTTACATCCCAGTGCCAATCTTCCTCTGTAGCCTCATTTCTGGCTCCTCCCTCATCATTGGCTCCTAAGTTTGGAGCCAATTACCTTCAAACTCTTCTGGACCTCATTACAAATCTCTATTTCGGGCCCCCCTCTTGGCTGCACCCTGTTACAAATTTCTCCTTTCAGATATAAAACCCCTTTATAATTATATAAAGGGCAATGGACGAAGGTCTTATCTTCTTGTAACTACTTCCGGCTGAACATGGATGTCGTCCTACCTACCTTTGGGTTAGGGGTGCTCTGAAGGGGTGGGTGCAGCACAGAGGAAGTTCTTCCTATACGGGGAAGGACCTTATAGAATCCAGGTCAGCTGGTTGTCACCAGCCTTTGGACACCAAGCCTCAGGCTGAAACACTTATCAGCCCTGAATGACCCTTTCTGGGTCCCAAGTAACAAAGGCGTTCTCCCCAACTAGTTACAGGTGACCTTCCCTAGGCCTTAGAGGTGACCTTAACTAGTTCTTCAGATACAGAGGATTTCTGATCAGAAACACAACCAAATTGAAACCACATTCTCATAAAACCATCAAATGAGTAGCTGAGGTTTTCTTTCCTTCAGGTTTAAAACTTTCACAACCTTTCCTACATAGTTTTACCCATCCAGATTTAACCATAATTCATTTTTAATCCCTGGTCCTTTCCCACACTGGGAAGGACTATACTTAAGCTAAGTACTTAAACTCAGTATCTGGCAGTCAAAAGTCCCTAGATTCACAGGGACATCCTACAGCTTTCTGAAGCTTACTTCTTGCAAACACCCTATAAATCAGATGGGCACCCTTGGACCCCAGTTTATGACCTTCAGAACCAGAGCCCTCCTTATCAGAACAAGTTACACAGAGAATCTGACTGGTGCAGTGCCCACACAGCAGCAACACACAGCCCATAATCTGAAGAGAGCCCTTAGCCCTCCACCTTGCCCAGTTCCAACATGGCGGGACTGTCATGTGACCCATCATCCAAGATGGCAGCGCCCATGTATGCTGGGTCATCCAAGATGGCAGCGCCTCATGCATGACCTGTCCTCCATGGTGGGGCACTCACGTGGCTCATCCTGCATTTTACCCAAAATGGCGGTGCCCCCACATAGCTTTGCCGTCCAATCCCCAACGTACATTCAGGGTCAGCTTACAGAGCCTAGGGGTTTTATTTCTCCCCAGACCTGAGCGCAGGTTCCCTTAGTGCCACCTGGGCTCACCGAAACTAAGTGAGCAGACAGGGGCAGCCTGGAAGCAGCATATTAACCAAACCCTTATCCACAACTCCATTATTCCAAAACAGTGTTCAGAAACAAATTTCAACCAAACCATTTCATGTCTCTGCTCCCTTCCCTGTTTCCTTTCCTTTTCACCCTTCTGGCTTGTTTAGGCGGCCGATGCCCTCAGGAGTGCAGAGAAATTCTCAGAGACTGGGAAGATTCCTAAGTTCCACTCTCCCACACCTGAGGGGGTTGGTCTTCCATGGGCAATTATTGTCCCATCTGGGTCACCAAAACCTGTGACAGAACAGACCAGGGGATGGGGCTGAATGCTATAAAAGACCCCCCTTTTTTCTCCGGGAGTTCCTCCCCCATACTAGGTTCGCTTTGCCTGTTGCCAGAGGAAAGATATCCCTCAAAACCAGAGATCAGTGAAAAGGAAAGGAATTATTATTTATTTAAAAGTTATACAGACCAAAGTTCTTTAGAATACCCACAAATGAACACAGTCCTTCCTTCTCCCTCTGTCTAGTCCGGGGTACCGTGTCTCAGGAAAGAAGTAGAAGTCTGTGATTCAGGCCCGCAGCACCATCCACGTGGCAAAAAAAAAAGGGAGCACTTCCAAAGCTGCGTGGTCACTGAAAAGCTGCGTGGCCCCCAAAAGAGACCCCACAATGGCTGCCTCGCCTGGATTTAAATCCTCGAGCAGATCTTCCTCTGCAGCCTCATTTCTGGCTCCGCCCACAATTGGCCACAGCTGCGAGCATTCCAGGCAGGTGTGGCCCTGTGGTGTGGAGCCAATTATCTCCAAGCTCTTCTGGACCTCATTACAAATCTCTGTTTGGGGCCCCCTCTTGGATGCACCCTGTTACAAAACGTCTTGCCCAGGGTGGTGGAGGCAGGACACCAGCCAGGTTCCAGATTCCCAGCCAAAGGCTCTTCCTGCCTCGACTCCCGGCCTCCTTGGGGTAGAGGGTCGCTCAGGGCTGTGTGTCAGAGATGCTCAGAGCGGCACTTTGATTCTGGACCCAGAAAAGATCGGTCCCCTGGTGTCATGGCAACCGCCCGATCCCCCTGAAGACAGAGGGCGAGTGTTTGGCAGGTGCACACTTGTGCAGTAGGGAAGGAGGCAGGCGAGCTGCTTCAAGTGGGCAGAACTGCAATTGTCCCCTATTTGAAAAGAAACGTCACAGGGATCCCGGCCCCAAAAACCCAACATAGAAGCGGGGACTGGCTGATGACACTGAGCTTTTACTCTGTGTGAGACATGCCCTCACTGCTCACAAGGGTGCATAGTCATTGTGGGAAAACAGAATTCACACGTAAGCAAGACGAGTCAAGAGAAATCATCCACCATCCCTGGGAGGTAGGGAGTTTTGCTCCCCTTTTGCCTTTCAGGAACCTGGCCATCGCGGTGTGAAGTCAGGATGGTAATGCCACAGTAATAGAAATAATAATGTTCCTCCTCCTCATCATCACACCAATAGTTATCTTTATAAGAAAAATAATAATACAATAAAAAGTAGCGATAATACAAACAAATGAAAAAATAGCAGGTGTTTCAAGCAGGGACAGTTTGTCAGCTGGCACAGCTCTGCGCTGTCTGAGGGGCTGCAACTGTGTCTGTGCGCTCACCCTTCGCCACGCCCCCAAAGGGCCCCACCACTGTGTTGCAGCGCTTTGCAGAGTCCAAAATGTTTTGGCTGGGCTGTTGCTTCTGTCTCATTTCCTGCAGACCTTCCAATGGAAACAGAACACGACTCTGCCATTTGAAAGTCTTCAAAATAAAACCCAAACCCGCAACCAACCACCCATGATGGACTGCCCAGGACCTGGGGGTGGACACGGGCCTGGGAAGGCCTGCCCTTAGCCACAGCCTCCCCTTCCCCAGGAGGGGCTGCTGCTGGGCAGGGCCTGGGGCCAGCAGGGCTCTCAGCAGGGTGTCAGGAGAATTCTCTCTGCTCTCTTCCCAGAAGACCTGGGGACTGAGAGGTGGGTTGAGAATAGACCTTGTCTAAATATAGACCACGAGCAGCTTTGTGACTTGGGCAAAGCCGCTGCGTGGGGGTGGCAGCGGTGGCAGGGTGGCGGGTGGTGGGGGGAATCATTCTCTTTTCCTGTAAATATTTTTAACCCTGGGTAGGAAGCAGTCTGCAGGGGGTCCCATTGTTTAAGTACAATGGGCCCTCACTTTCCGAGAGTGTTTTGGTATTTCCCCTTGAGGAGTAGCAGGGAGGTTGCTGGGAAGAGGGGGCTGCGTGTGAAGAACCAGGCCTGGGGGGCGGCTTGAGAGGGCCCCCCACACCGGACTGCAGCTGCAGGCAGCCCAGAAGCCGAGCAAGGAAGCTAGGAAGGGTTAGGACCACTAACACAATGCCTCCTCCCATTATTAGCTGGGACACATTTCTTTTGCAAAGGGCATCATATTTGTTGTGGAACAGATAGAAGCTTCCGAGAAAAGGAGGAACCCTGGACTCCCTGTCTCCCCGCCCCGCCACCAGGAGTAAGCCGGCTCGCTCCCTCGCAGCCTGTGTCTCCTTTCCTGCAGTGTCCTGGTGCCAGTCTGCTCTGGAAACACCCTCTCAGGAGGCCACCTCGTCCTCCTCCCCAAATAAGCCAGCCGTGGGGCTGGCAGACTGACCCAGACCGAGTAACCCCAACAGTGGTCAGGGCCTCTCGGCGGGGTGTGAGCTGCACGCACTTTCCACCACCGCGCGTTGCGTGCGCTACCCTCTTGCAGAGTCCTCGAAAGTCACTGCTGTCACTGTCCCATTTTACAGAAGAGGAGGCTGAGGCTCAGAGAGGTGATGTGACAGGCTTGACGGCACACCGAGTCAGAGAGGTGGAGTTGAAGTTAGGGTTCTGCAGGACCGTCTGGGTGTTCGTGCCGCTGGCGCTGGTCAGCAGTCTGCCAGGGCGCCGGTGAAACGTCGGACCGGACTGAGGTCCCCCCGCGCCCCCACCCACGTTCATGGAGGCCACCCTGTCCGCTGTCAGGGCTGGGGAGGCTCTCTGGAGCCACCTTCGTCAAGCGCTTGTTGCTCTGAGGAGAAACAGGCCCAGAGCTGGGAAGAGACTTGCCCAGGTGCTCGGGCCTTCGCTGGCCTGGCCCCCGGGCATGTCCCCTCTGCTGGAGTGACTGTCCCGCAGAGAAAGTCCCAGACCCGTCCTGAGGCGGCCGAGCCTGCTAGGGCCCGGACAGAGTGGGGTCCTGTCCGAGTTCTGAATCGTGGTGCGTGGCCTGGGTTCCAGTGCTGCCGTCCCCGCACCCCTTCGTGGCCTTGAGCCTCTCTGTCCTCCTTTGCCAAGTGGGTGAGCAGCACCCTGTCTTCGAGGCCTCCCTGGGTGGGCGCACAGGCGCTGTGGCCCGGACCGCCACCTTGTCAGAGGACCCACTGTCTCGCCGGCCTCACTCCTCGCCCTCTTCCCCACCAGGTTCCACTGGACGAGCGCATCATCTTCTCGGGGAACCTATTCCAGTACCAGGAGGACAGCAAGAAGTGGAGGAACCGCTTCAGCCTCGTGCCCCACAACTATGGGCTGGTCCTCTACGAGAACAAAGTGGTGAGGCCGCCACCCCATCGGCTCGGTGCCTGGCACTGAGCCCCAGCCAGGGCTTCTTCCCCTCCCCCGAGGTGCCTCCCCTCCCCCGCTGTCCTCCTTCACAGTGGTGATCACGGCAAGCCCCCTACTCCTAAATCTGAGACTCCAGACCTCCACCCTCAGCTGCCATCCACCCCCCACCTGCCGTCTGCAGGGCCAAAGCAGAACGTCGGCACCCTCCCCCCCGTCCCACCTCCCACACCTGCTTGCTTAGGGTCCCCCCTCTAAATTTCATCCATCCAGACATCCCGCTCTCTGGTGCCCCCACAACCAACTCCCTAGCTCTACCCATCCTGTCGACTCTCTCAAGTCCTTCCAGATCTCATCAGATTTCCAGGGCCTCCTCCCCCTCAGCCTCCTTGCTGGCTGAGCCTCCTCTGACCCCTACCTTCCTCACTCTTCAACTGCTTATACCTGGGTGGTGTTCCTATCTTTTTCCTTCCTGATTTCCCCCTTGCAGTTCCCTGCACGGCTGCAGGACTGTGCGTCTGCTGAGTGTTTTTGGGCCCTGGAGGCAGCCCCACCTGGTTGAGCCACGGACCAGGTGCTTCTTCCACCAGATGTTTCTCCAGAGCAACCAGAGGCCAGGCTGGGGCCCTTGGTCTCCGGGTCAGTCAGTGTTAGAGCAGCGGAGTCAGGAGCAGCCTGTTGCCCCAGGCGAGTGGTTCTCGCATGGATGGAGTTCCACGGGCCTGGCTTGGCAGGCTTGCTGAAAACTAGGTTGCTTGCTGGGCCTGCCCCAGTTTGACCCACGGCTGGACCGCGGTCAATAGTTTGCAGGTCTAACAAGTTTTCAGGTGCTGTGGATGGTCTGGGACCACATTTGGCCGATGATCAGTGCCCCAGGAGGTCCCAGCTACTCTCGAGAAATGCGTTGAGCCCTGACTGGTGTGGCTCAGTGGGTTGGGTGCCTTGCCCCAAACTGAAAGGGTCGCGGGTTTGATTCCTGGTCAGGGTGCATGCCTGGGCTGCGGGCCTGGTCCTCAGTTAGGGGCATGCGAGAGGCGACCAGTGGCACATCGATGTTTCTGTGTCTTTTTTGCCCTCTCTTCCCCTCTCTCTAAAAATAAGTAAACAAGATCTTTAAAAAAAAAAACCCCAGAACTATATTGAGTAGTGACACCTAGTGGCAGGGTACAGCATGGCAGCCCTGCTGTATGAGCTACTGCCACAGACCGGCTCTTCTCCCCACTGGTGAAAGACCCGACTCTCCTCCACAGGGGACACAGGAGGTGCTCAGAACCTGGGGAGCTGGTGGACAGTCTGGGATAACGGTGGGAGACCCTGGGCTCTGGAGGCCGACGGTCCAGGATCACGTCCTCTGCCCATTCTTACCAGCTGTGTGAACTCGGGGCTAGTCATGGCGCCCCCTGTTGGACTGTGCGGGTTCTGTGAAGTGAGGCACCTGGTTTGTGGCAAACACCCGACCAGTGGTAGCTGCCGGTAATAAGAGGCGGTAGTGACCGTGGTGATGAAGATAATGACCTCAGTGCACCTGCTGCCCCTGTGGTGCCGGGCACGGTGCTGACCGTTTTGTGGGTTATGTAGCTGCTCAGTGAGACGGGGGCCATTCTTACCCTGGTTTTATAGATGTGGAGACCGAAACAGAGGTGGAGGGAGGTAGGTGGTCCTCGGCATCAGGCAGGTGGTGCCGGTGGGGTGGGATTTGAACCCAGAGCCTCAGTGCAGATTAAACCATATTGACTGTAGTGTCCACGTTGGTCAGACTCCTTTGCCTCTTCCCTGTGTCTCTCTTCCTCCTCCCTTGCTTCCTGCCCCTCTTCTTGTCCCTGCCTTGGGCAGCAGTACGGGGTAGGGTCCTGGAGCCAGCACTGGAGATGGGATTTGGCTGGGTCAGTACCCACATCCCCCCAGGGACCGTCTCTCTTGCCCTCTCCTCAGGCCTACGAGCGGCAGGTCCCGCCCCGATCTGTCATCAACAGCGCAGGCTACAAGATCCTCACCTCCGTGGACCAGTACCTGGAGCTGGTCGGCAACTCTTTACCAGGTAAGGGAGCCCCCATCCCAGGCTGAAGTGCCCTGCACAGGCCCGGGACTTGGCTGGGGGGAGGGCGGCCCTGACCCCGGAGCCCCAGGCTGGCCGTCTGCAGAAAGGCCAGCTGGACCTGCAGCTGCCGGCAGGTGCCCAGCCTCACCCGACACCTACCACCCCGAGAGGAGGCTCGAGGCCAGGAGGAGAAGCGGGGCTGGACCTGTTTCCTGCTTCCCAAGGCTTCTGATGGCAGCTAGCAGGGGGGACCTCACTGTCTGCACTTCCCTTTCCTGAGTCCTCCAGAGACTCCCGGGAGAGGAGGACGGGGCCCTGCTTTGTAAACTGCTGAGTCAGTCCTGTGCTTGGTGACCCGTCCACCCCGCCTTGTCGCAGACCCCCATAAGACTTATGGGAGCCCACCTGCCTCTTGGATGGTCCCAGGGAAACTAAAGAGGCCCCTCGTCGGGACTTGGGACTGAAGCGCCCTGAGCAGCGTAGCGCGCACTGGAGCAGGCATTTCTGGATTCCAGTTTGCGCTCCAGCTTTGTTTTGCTGTGTCTTCTCGGGCAGCCCGGCCCTGAGCGGACTGACCTTGGAGCCCTGTGCGGACCCCATGAGGTCCGTGTGCGCCGAGCCTAGCACGGGGATGCAGACAGAGCCAGGGCGCAAAGAAGAACTGTCATTGTTTCATTCCCGACAGCAGGGGCGAGGTCACAGCCCAGGACCACCTTATCTCCCTGGATCTCGAATATCCATGCAGGCAAAATAGAGACAGAAAAGTCCCCTTTTATTTTTCTCTACCCCGCCCCCTTGCCTCCCTCCCCACCTGGACATTCAAACCACACTTTGGCCTCCAGAGCTAAAATTCGAAGGGAAACCCAAGAAGGTAATGCTCAGCCCTTGAACCTGAGGGCTCTGACCATGTGTTATTTGTGCCTCCCACGCGGAGTCTGGAACCTTCCCCAAGAGGGAGTGGGTGTGACCGCACTATCAGCTCTAGAAATGGACCCAAACAGGTGCTGGGGCCCCTTGCAGCCAGGCTGTGGAGGGCACAGCAAGAAAGGGGGCTGCCGCCCCACTGCGTGCTGGTTGCCCAGGACACGCTGACCCTCTTGGGGCCCGAGCCTGCCCTCGGACGGGCCCAGGGGAACGGCTGAGGGCAGCTGCTCAGCCGGCACTGTCTCCGCAGGGACGACACCCAAATCGGGCTCTGCTCCCATCCTCAAGTGCCCCACGCAGTTCCCACTCATCCTCTGGCATCCTTATGCCCGTCACTACTACTTCTGCATGATGACGGAAGCCGAGCAGGACAAGTGGCAGGCCGTCCTGCAGGACTGCGTCCGGCACTGCAACAATGGTGAGTGGCGGTCAGGCCCCTGGGGCTGGGGGTGAGTGGCATCCCCGGGGTTGTGTGCTGAATGGCGACACCTACTGGCTGAGTGCAGTGTGACAACTCTGCTCTATGAGGAAGATGGTTTTCCTTCTGGATTTGTACGCCGCGGCAGCTGTGATGCTGCCCTCAGCCTTCTCCTTGAAGACAATTCTGTGTTGCTCGGAAGAAAGTCAGGAAATCGCCCTCAGAGGGCAGGGGCAGGGTCGCTGTGCCCTGGGACCCTGGATCCCGGAGTCACAGTCCCGAGTCTGCCATGTTCTAGCAACAGGGTCCTAGGAGGCTCGCAGCTGGCCTCTGGGAGCCTCCAAAAGTGGAGAGAGAGCCCCTCGGAGTCTGCGGGGTTTGTGAGATTACAGTGAGAATCCACGCGTGCTTGTAAAAAAAATTGTTATGTAACCTTTTCCTGTTGCCGCCGCCGACCCTAGGTGTTCTGGGGAGTTCACTTCCTCCCTCAGGTGCTCAGGGTTCCATCTGTGAAGTTATGAGGTCTCTTCCAGCTCATTCATTCAACAAACAGTTTTAGTGTTTGGGTGCAAAGGATGCAAGGAGGGAGGAAGACGTGGTTCCGGCCCCGGGCTGCTGGCAGCCTGGTGGGGGAGACAGATGTGAAACAGATGAGACCAGGGTGATGAATCACAGCTGGGCTGGGCAGGGGGGGGGCGGGGGAAGCCCCCGGGGCGCCTTGAGGGTGTGAATGTGCAGGGAGGGACTGGTCCAAACAGGAAGAGGTGATGGACCAGCTGAGAACTTCGGGATGAGTTGTCCTCTGGGGCTGGGGGGAGAGTGCCAGGCAGAGGCAGCAGCGGTGTGAGGGGTGGTCCAGAGGCAGGAGCAGTTTAGAAGGGGCCCTGAATTGGGGACCTGAAACGAGGCTGCAGGGGACACTGGGGCCAAGAGAGCCTTACAGGGAGGGCTCCAAGGAGTCTGATCAAAAAGGCTTGTGATTGTCTTCTGAGAGGCGGGTAGGGCCCCGAGGGAGGGGCAACCCAGCCCTGGACCCCAAACTGCCTTCCTAGTGATCTGGCCTTGGGGCAGCTGCGCCTGCCCCCGCCCACCCTGGCAGCCGGCCCACCTGGACTCAGCTCCCCACAGAGGTGGTGCCTCAGCTCACCCCACTTGTCCTCACAGCTCTCCGGAGCCGCCTCTGCCCTGTCTGGAATCTGCCAGGCGGAGGAACCAGGTCTTCAGTCAGGCCAACTCCTGCCACCTGGGCTGGGCCCTGCCTCCCACAAAGGGCCTCCTGTTCCCAGGTCCCTGGGGGCTGTGAGGCCAGGACTGGGTGGAGGCCATCTGGGCTCTGGCTGCCTGAACTGGGCACCCTCCCTCCTCTTCCCTTCCCCCTCCCTCCTTCTCTCCACCTCCCCGCCCCCAGCTTGGCCCAGCTCCACCCTCTTCAGGTTTCCAAGGCGAATGGCTGACCTGGCAGGGTGACCCCAGGCCAGGTGGAGGGCGGGGACAGGACCAGGTAGAGAACAGTCACGTTCCGGCCCCCTTGTGCACGGTGTAATGTTGCGTAATGTTGTTCGGAGGAATAAATGGGTTGGTTGTGGTAGAGCACTCTGCTGGTGCCTGGCACATAGCGAGCGCTCTGTGGGGGGTTGGGGGGGCCACCCTTTGGATGTTTGTTTGTGCCCCCAGGAAGGAGGGGCAGCGGGGAAGAGCTGCCAGGAGGGGTTCTGGGGCTGAGGAGGCTGGTTTTAGAGGAGCCTGCCCTCCACCCTGAGGACTGTGGGAAAGTTCTCTGCTTCCTCAGCCCGGAGACTGGGTCTGGAATCTGTGGAGCCTGCAATTGCTTGCTCTGCTCAGGGGGCTGCCAGGAAGTGGGGGGATGAGTGGGGAAGGAGGCCAGGCTGGGTGGACGCCAGCTCATCCCAGGCCCCCCCTCACATCCTGCATTCCTGGAGCAGCTGGGGGTGGCAAGTGGCAGCTGGGGCACTGAGCTGAGCCCTCAGGGTGGGCCTGGGGTGCAGAGGTCAAGGCCTCTTCCTGTCTGCTGCCCAGGACTGAGGAATGCCATTTCCTTTCTCAGCTTGACCCTCAGGACCTCCCTCCCCACCATTGCTTCCCTGCTCCCCCCCCCCCGGCAGGAAGTCTCCAGATCTGGGGTCTGAGCCTGGAGCTGTTTTCTTGAGCCAGCAGCTGCCTCTCTCTGGGGCTCTCTGGGCCTCTCTGCCCACTGGGGAAAGTGGGGCTGAGAACAGCCATTCCTCACGGGATGGAGGGGAGGGAGTGACTGTGAGGTCTCGAGGTCTCAGCCCAGGGTCCGGGTCTTGGCGGGCTCTGGCGGCCCTGACAGAGTTCCACAGACTGGGTGGCTTGAGCAACAGAAATTAATCTTGTCTCAATTCTGGAGGCTGGGAGTCCCAGACCAAGGTCTCAGCAGGTTTGTTTTCTCCTGAGGCCTCTCCCCCTGTGCCCTGCAGAGGCCTGCCTGGTCCCCCTCTGAGTCCCCTCTGAGTGCAAACATGTTCTGTGTCCGAATTTCCTTTTTATAAGGACACTAGTCATACTGGATTAGGGCCTAGACTAGTGACCTCATTTTACTTTAATTGCCCCTTTAAGTCCCTATCTCCAAATACAGCCACATTCTGAAGTGCTAGGGGTTAGGGCTTCAGCACATGAATGTGGGGGAGGGGACCCACCATTCAGCCACCAGCAGCCCAGCCAGGCTCCTTGGACGTGCTCAGGCCTGCGGACTGGAGTGGAGCCTTCCTGAGGGTCCGGTTGGCCAGAGCCATCGCCTCAATCGGTGCCTCCTCCCCGCGGCCCTGCCCTCTGCCCCGCCTCCCTCCCCCCTGGAAAGCACCCTGGACTGGCAGGCCTGCCCCTGGTGCCTGTGGAATATAAATGCCCTGAAGTGGGAGAGGCTGCAGGTAAGGCAGAGCCAGATTTTTTAGGCAAACCCTGGTCTCTGGGAGACCATGCCCCTCCTGAGCGGTTGAGGGGGTTTCTCTCCCGGCCCACCCAGGGTCTCTGGGTGGTGCTCCCACTAGAACAGCCTGGCTCTGCTCTAGTTGCTCCCGCCCTATGTCAGGTCCCTGAAGCGCAAGGGTGAGGCCCCCACCGCAGTCCAGGTTGCTGCCACTGCAAGGATGGGGGCTGGGCCTCAGTTTCCCCCGCCAAGCTCCCTTCCGGCTCCGACAGGCAGTGATTCCTGCGGTCAGCTGCACGTGGGAGGGGAGGAGTCCTCCGCACGCCAGAGAGGGGCTTTTTCTCTGTGGCCGTGACTCAGCCTTTAGTCATTGCAGTGGGAGTGGGGTTTTGCAGGCACAAGCTGAGTTTCCCTTCCCCTCCGCCCTAGGACGCAGCGGTCGCAGGCACGTGGCCAGGGTGGCCGCCCGCTGCCTGGCTCTGAGGTGTTTAACCACGTTCTTCCCCAAGTCGGCTTTTGCAGCTTTCCTGCAGCTTCTAGCCTCCCCATCACCCAGCCTGCAGGTTCTCCGCCAGCCCAGCGGGGGTGGGCAAACTCATCTGGGCCACCGCCACCAGCACTGATACCAAAAACAGAGAAGTGGTATTTCCTAGTCCCACCTGGACGCACACCAGTGACCAAGGCAGATCGCGCAGCAAGAGCGGGTGCTCGCTGCGGTGACTAGTCAAGTGCCGCGCCTGCGCTGTGGCCCTGGGAGCCTCCCGGCTCCTGGCTCCCAGTGTTCAGAAGGGGAAACTGAGGCCCTCTCGGGTTCAGTGACGTGGACCAGACGTGGCAGTCCTGGCCCCACGGGCACCGTTGTGAATCACGTTTGCTCACAGGTTGTCTGTGGCTGCTGCCGTGTGTGCCGCGTGGCAGAGCGTCGGTCCGGCCCTTGGCAGGGAGGATGCGCAGATGCCTGACGTAGAGGGGACGCAGAGGGGCGGGGCAGGAGTGAGGATCTCCAGCGGCCTCCCCTGGAAGGGCGGGGTGGCTTCCAGCCTGGCTCTGCCATCATCGCTGCCCTCGGCAGTGGCCTGACTCCCGAGAATTGGGATGAATGCTGCCGGTGCCCTATCTTGGAGCGACTGGGAGGACTTTAGGGGATAAGGAGGGTACGGAGGAGGACCGCCTCGCTGCCGTCAGTGGTAGGTTATTATCCCCGTTGCTGCCACTGCAACTACTCCTGCCCGGTGCTGACAAGGACGTGGGGGTCGCAGGTGAGGGTGTGCGTGTGCACGTGCACGTGTACACATTTGCCTGTCCGTGGGTTGGTCTTAGTGGAGACCACTGGGCCACCCTGCCGACCTCCTCTCTCCTTCCCTCTCCTGGGCAGGGATCCCCGAAGACTCCAAGGTGGAGGGCCCTGCGTTCACGGATGCCATCCGCATGTACCGCCAGTCGAAGGAGCTGTATGGCACCTGGGAGATGCTGTGTGGGAACGAGGTGCAGGTGAGGCCAGGAAGACTGGTGGGGAGACCACAGCGGTTACCCCAGGGCCTGGAGGATGGCTCAGCCCCGAGGTGGGGCCCCGGGTGCTGCAGGCGTGGACAGAGATGGGAAGCTCAGATTCAGACACGCGCGGCCTGCGGCTGGCCGTGTAGACGGAGACACTTGCTATTTTGTTCAGTCGTTTCCTGAGCACCTGCCTGGGCCCAGGTGTCCTGACACCACTGATCAGAAGCGAGGTGGTGCTGGGCCTCATGGACCTTGCCGTCAGACATTTGACAGATGAACATGCACACACTTCTGTGTACAGTCAAGGCATGGGGGGAGGGGCGTGGTGTTCCAGACAGGGAGGTGGCATGTGCAAAGGCCCTGAGGTGTGACCTCTGAGTCTGAGGATCCTGCAGGACACCCAAGCAGGTAAGCTGAGACCTGTGGGAAGGACACTCAGGAGAGAGGGCACTGGAGACATGGAGCAAAGGGCCAATACCCAAGGAGGTAGGGGCCAGAGTGGCCGTCCTTGATGGAATATGGAGATGAGCATACCTGGCCAGACTCCGACCCCTGCCCCAGCTGTGCTTCCTGGTCGTAGATCCTGAGCAACCTGGTGATGGAGGAGCTGGGCCCTGAGCTGAAGGCGGAGCTCGCCCCGCGGCTGAAGGGGAAACCACAGGAGCGACAGCGGCAGTGGATCCAGGTGCGTGGCTGGGGCTTGGGTGTGGGGGCTGCAGGCTTGCAGCCGACCAGCCCCCTCAGCCCAGAACTGACACCGCATCTTGGCCCCCAGATCTCAGACGCCGTGTACCGCATCGTATACGAGCAGGCCAAATCACAGTTTGAGGTGGTGCTGGCCAAGCTGCAGCTGGCGCGGCCGGCCATGGAGGCGGTCATCCGCACTGACATGGACCAGGTCATCACCTCCAAGGAGCACCTGGCCAGCAAGATCCGAGGTAGGCAGGCCACCCGCCACGCTCATCTTGGGTGGGCGGACCTACCGGGCCCTCCTGTCTGTTTCAAAGATCCCCGTGCATTTTATAGCAGTGACCTCACTCACTGATTTCTTTAAAGAAAAAATCAAAATCACACCTGAGCCATTGTTTCTCCAGTCCCTGTGGTTGGTTGTGGCTGTTATTTCTATAAACCCAGACTTTGGGGGCCTCGGTGTTTGTTGGGGAGGTTCAGCCTGCTGCTCCTCTGTGGCCGATCACACATTTCCACATGTCGTTTTAGCAGACATCGGCCTAACTTTGTGCTGATTCACTTTCACCAAGTCCAACTTTTCCAAGTCAGTTTCTGCTCCTTCCTGGTTCCGGCCAGATGGGATCCTGTCCCTCCCTTGTCACCATAATGTGGCCACAGTTGTTGGTTGCCCACCAGTCAGGATGGGACCCCAAGAGTGGCCACTTATTCTGTGGAACAAACAAGCCTAGCTGGGCAGAGAGGGAGGGATGTCGAAATCCCCCAGGTCAGGATGTCCTGGAGATGGTCCCTGTTCACAGGGACACGACCTTTATCGTGGTTGCACTAAAGCCAGGCCACGTTTTCCTGGGCAGGGCTGGGCTCAGTGTTTGTAAAACCCAGAGGCTTGTTGAAACTGCTTAAGTGTTTCCCATTTCATTTTCTTTTTTTAAAAGATTTTATTTACTTACTTTTCCGGAGAGGAAGGGAGGGCAGAAAGAGAGGAAGAGAAACACCAGTGTGTGAGAGATCATGCGCCCCCTACTGGGGACCTGGCCCACAACCCAGACATGTGCCCTGACTGGGAATCAAACCCGTGACCCTTTGGTTTGCAGGCCCATGCTCAATCCACTGAGCCACACCAGCCAGGGCTCCCATTTCTTAAAAAAAAAAAAAACAACTGGGCAAGACCCCCAAAGATACTATTTTCTGCCTCTAGCTGAGCAGAAAGCTGCCCGTGCCTCTACAGACAGCAGTTCTCTTGGTTTCCTGCTGTCGCAGCTCCAGAAATAATCAGGGGCCAATCTCAGAGACCCTCTTGTTTTGGCTCCACGGGTTATTGTTTTTACTGTCGCTAGAATCGGTGTCTGCTGCTGTTGTACCTGGTGGTTTTCTTTAAAAAAATAACCCAACCGCTCGCCTCTCGCCCCACAGCCTGGGGTGGCTGGGAGCTGCTGCGGGGTGGGGGGGTGGATGGGGGGGGCGGACGCTAGCTAACCAGATCCCCCCCGCACTCCCGGGACGCAGCCTTCATCCTCCCCAAGGCCGAGGTGTGTGTCCGGAACCACGTCCAGCCCTACATCTCGTCCATCCTGGAGGCCCTCATGGTGCCCACCAGCCAGGGCTTCACCGAGGTGCGGGATGTCTTCTTCAAGGAGGTCACAGACATGAACCTGAACGTCATCAACGAGGGTGGCATTGACAAGCTGGGCGAGGTGAGGCTGCCCCTGACCCCAGGGTTGGGGGGCCATCCTGGGTTTGGGTCTGATCTGCCCCTATCGCCCCACTGCGAGCCAGGGCGGGCCACTCCCCTCTGCTCCCGCCCCAGTGTAGCCTGTAAACAGCATCTGAGGGTCTGAATACGTGAGGCTGAAGCTGCTGGCTGTCCTGTGGGGGGCTTACAGCTAGAGGGAAGGGGAAGCCTAACCCCCTGCCACTGGCCTTTATAAGAAAACAGGTTGCTAAACTGTGAAGAACTGAACAGTGAAGGGAGGGAGGGAGGAAGGAAGAGAAGGGAGGAGGGAAAGGCTGGCTTCCAAAATGCACAGCGTAATTGTCAGGGAGAGTGAAATGCGTGTGTGCCGTTCTGTGCGCCCCACGAACAGCCCAGCTCCCCTGCTGCTCCTCAGTTAGCTGATTCTTGGGGTGGACACCCTGCCACAGACCCGTATGGGGCACTTGGATGCCCGGAGCCCCACCTGGTTGTCAGGTGCAGATCGAATTGGTCCTGTAACCTTAGCCTCCTCTTCCATACCTCAAATCGGAGAGTCCACAGACCATAATAAGCATGGAATTTGAGAACCAGGAAGAACCTCAGAGATCACAAGAAACTACCTGATTTTGAGGCTGAGCACCCTGAGGCTCAGAGAGGCCTGCCCAGGGCCACCCAGTACCCCAGGAGGGACAAGAACCCCCTCTCGGCACCCAGGTTGTGTTGCTGAGCCACATGCCTCCTGCTTTCAGACCCTCGTCCTTTGTCTCGTGGGCCCTGCATCCCCTGGGTGGCCTTCCCTGGGGCCAGGGCCAGCCCGCAGGCCCCGCCTCTGAGGGCCCAGGGAGGTGTGGGTCTGCAGGGGCTGCCCGGCCTCTCGGGTGGCCCCGGCTCAGGGTCCACACGTCCCTGCCTCCCTGCAGTACATGGAGAAGCTGTCCCAGCTGGCGTACCACCCCCTGAAGATGCAGAGCTGCTACGAGAAGATGGAGCCGCTGCGGCTCGACGGGCTGCAGCAGCGTTTCGACGTTTCCAGCACGTCCGTGTTCAAGCAGCGAGCCCAGATCCACATGCGTGAGGTGTGTCACAGGCTGCTGCCCTCCCACAGTTCCATCTCCGGGGAGGGTCCCCGCTGTTGGCCCCCCCTCCTGGGGAGCTGCACTGCAGCCCCGCCCAGCCCTGAGTGCCCTCCTGCTCTGGTCTCGAGCGCTCACCCATTTGCTTGGAACACCTGTCCCACTGCTCACCTGGCTAATTCCAGCTCATCTTTCAGGTCTCAGCTTACAGATCCCCTCCTCCACGCAGCCCTCCCTGCACCCCAAGCTCCTTCCTGCAGGGCCCAGGGCCTCTCTTTCCTAGTTCCTTGAGGCAGGGACCGGGGGGGCCAGCATCATTTCAGCACACAGTAGGCACCAGGGATGTGAGGGTGTGAGCACAGGCCTCCCACTCGCCCCGGGTGGGCCTGGGGCAGCTGGCCGAGCCCCTTGGAGCCATGGAGGAAGAGGCTGCGGTCACTCTCGGGCCTTCATATGCCGCCATGTGCCCCGCAGCAAATGGACAACGCCGTGTACACCTTCGAGACCCTCCTGCACCAGCAGCTGGGGAAGGGGCCCACCAAGGAGGAGCTGTGCAAGTCTATCCAGCGGATCCTGGAGCGGGTGCTGAAGGTGAGCAGCCCCACCCCTGCCCTTGACCTACCGGCCCTAAGTGTGGCCCAGCCCTGAGCCCAGTCCCCGGGCAGGCCCCAGGCTTGTTGCCCCTACAGGGGGCACTACTCACCCGTCCTTTCAGACCCTCGTCCTTTGTCTCGTGCAAATTGGGACACTGGGGCTCAGGTTGGACCACTGGCCGTCCGTCCTCCTGCCAGGGGCCGGTGGGGCCCCTGCCTCAGAGCCCCCTCGCTTCTCCTCTGTCCTGGCAGAAGTACGACTACGACAGCAGCTCCGTGCGGAAGCGCTTCTTCCGGGAGGCGCTGCTGCAGATCACGATCCCCTTCCTGCTCAAGAAGCTGGCTCCCACCTGCAAGTCGGTGAGTGGCCCCGCCCCGCTCGGCCCAGTGTGGGGAGCCTGCAGGCCCTCTCTGCCCCGAGGCCCTGACCGCCCCTCTCCGCCCCATGCCCGCCGCCCTGCAGGAGCTGCCCCGGTTCCAGGAGCTGATCTTCGAGGACTTTGCCAGGTTTATCCTGGTGGAGAACACGTACGAGGAGGTGGTGCTGCAGACGGTCATGAAGGACATCCTGCAGGGTGTGTGCCAGTCCCCCCCCCCCCCAGGGCCACTGGGAGCTGGGTGGGTGGCACCTCTGCCACCTTGGCTGCTGTTGGGACTGGTATGGCCAGGAGGGTGGAGGAGGCGGCCCAGAGGTCTTTCTGGTGTGGTCAGTGAAGCTGCAAAGAAAATCATGAGATTTATGCCTCCAGGCTGGGGTGGGCCCCTGTGAGCTGTGTGGCCACAGGAAGTAGTGCTGCATCTCTGTGGGTCCCTGACATTTTGGGGAGTGACAGGGTGACATGGTGGTGACCAGCTTGGGCTCTGGGGTAGGATCATGGCTCCCCCTTCCTAGCAGTGAGGCCTGGAGTAAGTCACATCCCAATTACAATGTCCCCTCGGCTTGGGGGAGGCCTGGTGGTGGTTGGGGGGGGTGCTGGCATTTGGGTGCAGTGAAGGGTGTGGTGGCGGCTGTGGTCCCCCCAGCAAATGTCTTGAAGTCACTCATTTGGCCCTGCAGCCGTGAAGGAAGCCGCCGTGCAGAGGAAGCACAACCTGTACCGAGACAGCGTGGTCCTGCACAACAGCGACCCCAACCTGCATCTGCTGGCTGAGGGGTCGCCCATCGACTGGGGTGAGGAGTATGGCGGCAGTGGTGGCGGCAGTGGGGACAGCAGCAGCCCCAGCGCCCGAGTCCCAGAGGCAGCCACCATCTCGGAAAAGCGACGGCGTACCAAGCAGGTGGTGTCGGTGGTCCAGGACGAGGAGGCGGGGCTACCCTTGGAGGCCGGCTCTGAGCCAATGTCACCTACTTCCCTGGACGGTGTCACTGAGCTCCGTGGCCTGCTGGCCCAGAATCTGCGGGCCGAGAGCCCCCCGCTGGCAGCTCCCCTGCTCAACGGGGCCCCTGTGCAGGAGAGCCCCCAGCCCGTGGCCCTCCCTCAGGCCTCCTCACCGCCTGCCTCGCCCCTCCGGCAACTCCCACCTGGAAAGGCTGTGGACCTTGAGCCTCCCAAGCCCAGCGACCAGGAGACTGGGGAACAGGTGTCCAGCCCTGGTGGCCGCCCCTCCATCCACACCACCACCGAGGACAGCGCAGGGGTGCAGACTGAGTTCTAGGCTGGTCACCCCCACGCTTCTGTTGGACAAGGCGCACGGGCCCCTCCCTCCAAGGCGCTGGCCAGCTTGGCTCCGGCAGGCGCGGGTCTGCGCCTCGGGTGCAGGTGGGGCGGGGCTGGCGTGGCACCGCGGGGGCTGGGCAGGGAAGGGCCCTCCTGAAGTCACTTTATTGGTTTGGTCATACTCTGTTACTCCGTTTTCTCTTTTGTGGGGTGAACTTGGCTTTCCTGCTTGTGCTGGGAGCTGAGCGTAGCTGAGGGGCCAGGGAGTGCCCGGTGGTCCCGGTTCTCTGGGTCCTCCCTGCCTTTCTTCTGTGGCCTGTTTCCCTCGTGGGCTTGCCAGCCTTGCAAAGAGGGGGTTAAAGGCACTGTCTGCTGTGACTCAGAGCCTATGAATTCCCTCCTGTCACTAAGGGCTCGTTGGAACTGGAAACACAGAGTGCTGAGCCCATCTTCTGTTCATTCAGGCTGGGCCAGGGGCCTTGCTCCCCAACCCTAGCTGAGGGGAGGTGCAAGGACGGTGTCTTCAGGCTAGAGCCAGGCTGGGGGTGCTGGGGGGGAGGGCTGCCACATGAAGGGGGATGGGCCTACAGGCCTGGGGTTGGAATGGAAAGGCCTGGAATGTGCTGGTTGGGGTGAGGAAGTGTTGGAGGGCAGAGGGAGCGTTGCTGGAGGCCAGGCAGGCCTCAGGCCTTCGTCCCCACTCCCAGCCGCAGCGCTCTCTCTCCTTCGTGCGGTGCCAGGACCCTGCCTTCAGGAGTCCCGCTGTGCCTGCACGCACTTTGCTCAGAGGCCGGGTTTGGTGGGTGCAGACTCTGCCTTCGGGGGCCACCTCCAGGTTCGGGCTGCGCACCGAGGGGGCCGCAGCTGTCCGAGGACATGGGGTCGGGCTGTGGTGTGGCCCTACTGCCTGATTCACCATGTCACCTCGCCCTGAACATTCCAGGCCCCTTTTCAAATGTGAGTCACTGGGGCTCAACTGTCCTCCTTTAGCTTCTTGTCCCCAGGGGTGGGAGCTGAGCCGAGGCAGCCCTCAGGCCCTGCTGCTGCTGCTGCTGCTTTGAATGGAGGCCAGCAGGGCAGAGTGGGACCCTTTTGGGGTCTTCCGGCAGGGCCCCCACCCAGCCCTGCACCCTCTCTCCCTTTAACCTGCTTCTTGGGGCCTGGGCCTTGGACGCCCAGGACGTGAGGCAGTGGCTGGTGCTCAGGGTCCCCCAGTCTGCCCCAGCCCCAATCTCAAACACCTCACTAACCTCTAATGCCAACACGTTCCGTCTCAAGATGCTGTCCTCTTGTGCCTTTTGGGGTTTTCCAGTCATCCTTCCCAGATAATGTATTGAAAATATTATGCAAATTGTTTAAACTCTACTAATCAATAAATGCTTTATTTAAAGCCAGCGGCCTGTGTGTGGTGCTGGCAGGGGGGCCTGCGCCAGGGGCTGCGTCCAGGAAGCCTGTCCACACACCTTGGCTTTTGGGGCTCACCTGACCCAGCACCTCTGGGTCAGGGTTCTTCTGTAGTCCCATTTGACAGAGGAGGAAACTGAGGCCCAGAGAGAAGACGCAGAGCACGTGGGCGACCGGCCTGTGGTCCGCCCGGCAGGCTGCTCTGCAGGGAGCCCCTGGTGATAGGCCAAGAGGGTCCCGCAGCTTTAAGGCCATGGGGCACCCACAGTGGGGGTGGGCCCAGGGCGCCTGCTGGATCCGACCAGTGACGCCAACGTTTTCGCGCCAATGTTTTTTCATGACTCCTGGTCACACAGCTAGTGTGATGCCATCGTCACCAAGTCACCAATGTGAGAACAGGCCCAGGAAGGCGCGGAACCTTGGCTGAGGTTATGGAGCACAGGGACACCCCCCCAACCCACACAGAACTGGTGGGGACGGGTTGCCTCATCCATGCATAAAAACAAGTTCCCCTGGGTGGGATGGTGGCTAGTCACCGTGGGGGCGGTGCTGACTTCCTTGGTACTGGCCCATCCGTGGTGGCCAGTGGCCGAAAGCTTGTTGACAAGGGCTGGGGTGTGAAATAGCAGAGGCTATGGGACCAGCGACAGGACTCACCTGTGGTCGAGGGCCAGTCAGTACCTCTGCCTCGGGCTCCGCGCCTACGAAGAACTCACCAAAGTGCCAATGCTGCTCTCTGCCAGGGCGAATGCCATGCTCTGCAAAGGGGCTCCACCCAGCTCAGGCCCCAGTCTCCCCTCTTGGCCAAGAGGAGTCCTGAGGGTGGCGGTGTGGGGGATGGGACCGTCAAAGGTCCCCAGGGGGAGAAGACATCATAGGAAGAGGCCCAGGGCTCTTTCCGCCACCACCAGGGCCTGTCCTTTGCTTCCAGCTGGCTCTCCGCACAGCACCTAGGGCGAGCACTCAGCGCCTCCTGGTGGCCACTGGCCTGCATCAGGGCCCCTTCATGCCCCCTGTTGAATGGGTGGGGAAATTGCTCCGAAGGCTGGCCCAGGGCGGTGGGCAGTGGGCGAGAGCCAGTGGCAGAGCCCCTGCACCCGAGCAGGCCTGCCTCTCGCCCAGAGAACAAGCTGCCCTTGGCTCAAAGCCATCTGCCAGAAGAGGCACAATAAACGTGCAACCCTATAGCAAGGGCGAGGCACACGACTCCTGGAACAGCCTGCACAGCCGAGAGGTCCAAACCCAGCGCTGCCGAGTCCCCTCTACAAGGTCCCAGGCACCCAACCCCTTCCTCCTGGGCTCGCCGTCAGGGAGCACACAGGCAGGTGACTCAGCACCACCTGCTCTGCAGGCTGTCCTGCCCCTCTCCTGAGGCTGCCTCTCCACCCCGCAGAGGGGAGGTCTGCAGAACTCCCCATTCTGGAATGTCTCCGCCTCCCCTCCTTCTGACCAAGGTGCAGCCCTCTCCTGACCCCACCTGGGCCCTCAACCCTTCCTTTCCCCAGGCTCCTTCAGGACCCAGTGATGACTCCGAAGAAGCAGGCTGGAGGTGGGTTTATTGACACTGACGCTCCTGTTTTGGGTCTGCAAAGCTCATCGCCTGCCCTTGGGCTGGGGAGCGGGGCCCAGAGCAGCGGGGGCAGCAGCAAGGGAGGCAAGGGGGGGCTGCTGCTGCTTGTGGTGCAAGGCCTGCACCGAGCACCTGCCAGCCGCTCAGAGGACCTCAGAGCTCTGCCGCGGTGGCCCGTGGCCACCCCTCCCCGCAGTGTGCTGAATGGGACAGCACTGTCCACGTTCCTCCGGTAAGGATGCTGAGGCTCCTGAGGAGACAGGGCCCCCACAGTCAGCCGGGAGGCAGTAAAGCCACACTGGCCCGGACACTAGCGCTGTGCTCCCAGGACGGCACAGCTGCCCCGTCACACCCAGAGCCTTCCCAATGCCATGAGGGATCCTCGCTCCTCTTTCACGGGACGCGGGTCATTGGTCAGGAACACTTTCTGCCCCGGCCCAGCAGCGCTTGCAGGTCGAGGGTGGGGGGCACCCTCCCGGGCTCTGGGGCAGGGCCCAGGACAAGAGGGGGCCTTACGAGTGTGGGCAGAGCAGGGGTGGACCGGAGCCCTGGGGGGAGTGGGGCTGGGGGCCAGGCCGGCGTTCAGCTGCTGTGGTAGATCCGGAGGCGCTGGGCGATCTCCTGGCGGCACAGCGGGCAAGTGCGCAGTGGCTGGCAGCACTGCGGGCAGCAGCAGACGTGGCCGCAGTTGAGGAAGACCACCTGCGCCTGAGGGGGAGAGCAGGAGCGTCTGGGCGCTGCCCCGGACGAGGTAGCCCTGGCCCACTCAGCCGCTCCGGGGCCACACACCACATGCGGTGCCAAGAGAGCCTGGCCCTTCTGGCAGCAGTTTGGTGCCAGTTCCTCCCTGTTCTGTGAAAATTCTATCCACACCCATAGGCCCCGCCCCTTTGTCGCAGAGCCGGACAGGGCGTGTGGGAAGACGGTGCCCGGAGAGGCGCAGCACAGACTCACCTCCCGCTCCAGGCACACCACGCACTCCGACAGCGGCACCTCCACCTCCAGCTCTGCAGGGGGGGCCGACGGTCTCACTGGCTCAGGGAACCCCTCGGGGGCACTGGGCTCTGGGGCCTCGAGGACCTCTTCCTGGGGTGGTTTCAGCAGCTCTGTGGGGACCAAAGAGCTTGAGCCAGGGTCATGCCCAGGACCCCAAACCCTAGCGGATGGCCCAGGGCCCGCTGCCCCAAGTAGCCAGTGCGCTGGAAGGTGAGAGGCCTGCTGATCTCAGAATCATTGGGGGAAGGGCAGCCTTGCCATGCACCCTCGTATTCCTCTTCTGAGCCTCATTCCCCATCTGGAAGACAGGCGTTCTGGGACGCTGGCAGGGAGGGGTCTCTTAACCCTAACATCCCCTGGGTCCTCAACAGCCACCCTGCAAGTGGGGCTCCTCCGCTTTCAGGGCCATCTGGTGGCGGAGCCGCAGCGCAGGAGCCCCTGGTCAGGAGCTCTGGGGTGAATGTGGCCCCCCTCTTAGCTTCTCCACCGCTGGCCACCACCCATCAGCGTTCGGAGGAGCAGGGAGGGGAGTGAGGAGTCCCTGCGGCTGGTCCCTCCCACCCTGAAGAGCCCCCTGTGCCCACCCTCTGCCCTGGGGCCAGGACCCAGCCCTGAAATGGGCATCAGAACAGGCCCCTACGAAAGGCAGCCCCTCTCATCATCTCACAACAGCCCAAGTCTGTCTTCAGCCCTGACCCCCGCCCTGACCTCAGTGCATGGTTCATTCCATCTGTGGTTTGAATTACAAACAGTACTTTTTATAATTGAAAAAACCCTGAAGATTGGAAAAAGGCTATCCAACACTAGACACTCCAAGGGTGTCAGGGGGCCCCAGACCAAGCGGGGACAGAGCCCTCTATTTAATACACCACCTCTCGGGTCCTGGGAGCAGTGGCAGAACCGGTGGGAAAATTCCCGAGCGTCTCCTGTCCCTTCTGGAGCTAAGGAGAAACGCCCCTGCCGCAGCCACTTCCCTGTAGGGTGGGCACGACCCGGAAGAAGTCTGAAGCAGCTGGGGCACCCCACACGGACAGTGGGGACATTCTGAGAGGGGAACCGCTCCTGCCAGCCCCAGGCTCGAGGGATACGATGAGAGGCAGTGGCTCTGGATGCTGCAGGGGCTCAGAGCGAAAGGGCACCTTCGACTCCTGCCCGAGGGAGGGTAGTGTATTCGGGCCGGGGCAACCCCATGTCCTGGCACCAAACTCGCTGACCTCCACTACGAGAGCGAAAGGGGGGTCAGAGCTGGGGGCCCAAGCATCTGGGGGGTGTCTGTCTTGCACAGTGCTTCATATTAAAGGACTGGAAGTTTAATGAGTTTTTCTTAGATAAAGTCGGTCCCTGGAGTAAAACTGGCTGGGAGGCTGGCGCCTGCAGATGGCCCAGCGCTGCCAGCAGCCCCAACACCTGGGGACTCAGGGCCTCCTCCCAGCCTGGTGGCCCGAGCTCCTGCCTCACCCTGCAGTCGGCCCGGCACCTCCCCTGCAGCCTCTGCCCCAAACAGGCCCTGCCTGAGGCTGGCCATCCCGTGGGCTTGCCCAGCCTGGCCATCTGCCCTCTCCATCCTTCTTCTGGCCCCAGGCTTCCTTTCCCTTGACAAGGACACTTGGTCTCTTCTCAAGGGGGCAGCAAAGCCTATGGTTCAGCCACTTGCCAGCTCTGGGATGTTATGAGAGATGAGCTAACCTCTCTCTGCCTCAGTTTCCTCACCCCTCAAATGGGATGACCTCAGTGCCCTCCTGATGGGGTTGGAACAGAGGCAACGAAACATGGTACATGTGAAATGGTCAGCAAATGCCTGGTACCGGATCCATCCTGCTCGGGACACAGGGGGCCTGGTTCTCACGCCAGCCCCTGCGTCGGCCACAGCGCCAGCCTTCTCCTGGCCTCCGACGAGGCGGGGTGCCTTCCTGACCCTTCACAGCCCGGCACAAACGTCTTCCTACAGACGAGCCCCGGGCCGTCCCAGGCACGCTCCTGGGCACTGGGCACAGCTGGTTTTTCCCTCAATCCCGAGGATGCTGGATGTGTGGTTCCCAATGTCTGCAGGGTGGGTGTGGGGAAGGCACAGGACCAGGAGCCAGGGGGGCCCCGATCACTTCTAGGAAACGTCCTCTCGTGTGGCCCGTTTTTCTCGTTGGTAAATCCTGTCCCTTTAGGAGGGAACTTTCAGGACTGGCAGGGCTGAAACCAGCCTTTACTTCTAATTATTAAAAAAAAAAAGATTTTATTTACTTTTTTTTAGAGAATGAGGAAGGGAGGGAGAAAGAGAAGGGGAGAAGCATCAGTTAGTTGCCTCTTGCACGCCCCCGGCCTGGGACCTGGTCTATAACCCAGGCATACACACGCCCTGACCAGGAATTAAACCAGTGACCTTTCGCTTTGTGGGATGATGCCCATCCCACTGAGCCAGAGCCAGCCTTT